TGAGAATAAGCCATGGTCCCAGAACTATGGAGATGGAGGATATAGTAAGAATCATGAGATAAATGTCCTCATGTGCAGCTGACTGATAGTTGGAGCAGAGCAGTTTGCCAGAGAATAGGACCAGAAGGTAAAATAGTGTCATCAATGGCTGACATCTTCAGGACACAAAATGGAATTAAACTGAATGCTCAAGATTGAGCAAAGGATAGACTCAGGGAGTTTAACTGCTGCATCAATATGCTGAATCGATAATAAAGCTTGGCACTGGTGATGTTTGTCATGGTATCAGAGGGTGACAGGAACTGACATTGTTGAGTTTAATGCAGAATTAGAATTGCCCAGTACTCCATCCCAGAAAGGAACTAAACTCTAGGGTTTCCCAGACAATCAGAAATTTTGGAGACCCTGCTAGAGGCACACAAAAACACATGTCTCCATGAACTTACATCTGGCATGAGGTGGGTTCTTTAACTAGCAAAGGAATCCATCCGGATGTGTATCTGAAATTCAAAAGGATCCCAAGGCATAGTGAGAGGAAATAGGTCTTTGTTGTGGAGAATGCTCAGAGGCCCTTTTTTATGAAAGTAGACATTAATCTGTTGAATAGGGCCTCCCTGTTCTAGGTCAGCTCTGAAGAAAGGGTATGGAAGTTTACCATTTCCTGGCTTTTTGTAGCAGAGCCCTGGCATAAATTGTATGAGTAATTCCAACACAGTATCAAGGTCCTACCTTTCCTCAGGGCTTGTGCTGCTCCATGTGCTGGCATCTATCTTAGGTCTGCAAAGCATTGTGGTATCCTTTATGCTTTCATCCCTTTGCGGCTCCTCCCAGGAGGTGGCGGCTTATCACATTTAAGTCTGCTGTTTGCAGCTGTCCATTGCATTCGTGTCCTGTCTGTTGCACAGCAGCAAGCTCCTGTTTAGTTAACTCTTTGCTCTCCTGGATACCGACTCGGCTTTGGCTAAGACTCCTCCTGGCTTCTGACCCCGGCTCTGGTGACCATTCTTCCTGGCTTCTGACCCCAGCTCTGGCGACTATTCTTCCTGGCTTCTGACCCCGGCTCTGGCGACCATTCTTCCTGGCTTCTGACCCCGGATTTGGCTACAATTCCCGCTGGTTCTCGACTTGATTATCCTGGAAGACGACTTCGGCAGGAGAACTTCTGTCCTACCAAGTCAGCCACTGTTGCTGTCGGACTTGCATAGACTCTTGCCTTGTTTCTGTGTAAATAAACCTACCTTTAATTGCACCTCCTTGTGTGTCTGGCTCCTCGCTCCCTGACACACAGCAAAACACTTTTTCTCCTGCGCTGGGAATGGACTCGGTGAAACCAGTAAGGATGTTCTGAAACATGCACTGCTTGCTGCCCTCAACAGACTGGGGTGGTCCAACTCCACTGAATGCAAATAGAAAAACAAAAAGAGGGGTGCACCGACCTAGCGCATTATCGTTTAAAATATTTATTGAAAGAACAAGGTAAGTATTATACTCACAATGGACATAAAAACACAAGCATATCACACCAAACAAGATAATAGATCCAAGCAGCATCTGAGTCTATACGATGGAACCCTGGATGACCAACTGGCTAACGCGTTTCAAAGACACAACCTCTTCCTCAGAGCCAACCTCCCCGCAGCATTGTTGGCATGCAACCTATACGGGGTGACACCGGACCAGCTCCAAGAAAAGGTAAGTTGTAAAGAAAGCCAACGATCCCCGCAGGATGGATCAGATCCATCCTGCGGGGATCGTTGGCTTGCTTTACAACTTACCTTTTTGTGGAGCGGGACCAGTGTCACCCCATGTGGTCGGTGTCACCCGGTGCGGACCGCAACCCCCGCACCTGCCTCGGGACGCCACTGCTTATGCCATAAAAATGCAGCTTTACTAAATCCTGTGATAAACTCATAGAACTGCATTACAGTTATCAGCCTCACAATGAGTGAAAGTCAACACCAGTTGGCTGCCAGTATGATTATCCATTTAGGCACAAATTAAGAAAATACTGTATATTACTAATAAATTATAGATTTTCTAAATGTACTGGACCGAAGTGTTTCATCTATAATAAAATATTGCATTTCCATATGCTGACGAACATACTTGCATCTTTACTATATATATAAACAACTTTAAGAGGAGGATCTTGATATAGCATGTTTATTTCCTAGAACAGCAAATGTATTTGTTGGAAAGTTATTTTTAGTCTGTATATGCCACTTTTACATGTCATATTTATTTTAATATATAAAATACAAGTTTGCTAAATTAAAATTCTAAAATGACAAAATAAAGCTTGGTTAAATTAGGGTAAAAAATCTCCTTCCTCATCCATATATACTATGCCTGGTGTGCAAACTTCATGGAGAGTAGTTAATTCAAGATATTTACTTGGGATTGCTGTTTATGTTAGCCTGTTTTATTGTGCATTATGTTTACCAACATATGGACATGATGCTGGCACTATTTAGAAGTGCAGCTCTCTTTTTAATAGCATGAGTTTGATGGGGATGCATAATTTGCTTACCATTTTATGACTTTCATGAAATCCCTTGCTATAAAATTTCTTGACAAATAAACACAGTCATTTCAATGATGACCATAAATAATTATTTTAATCAATGAAATGATCCTGAAACTAGGTAAATAAAGTTGTAAAAATTCTATTCTTTCAGCAGGGAAATACAATTGTGTTCTCTACAGAAGCAAATGGTAATTCTCTTGTGGTTTTTAAAGTTGCTTTGAATGCAGTATAAGACATAAACCTTTTTGTTTTCAAGATATGTGTGCTAAGTTTTTTTTTTTATACAGTATACAACATATTAGGGATAGAGACAAGAATGTGAATATGTTGATAGAAAAGTAACACTGATAATTTTGTAATAAGTCTAATCCATGTTTATACATCATGGGTTTTCTGTGCAGTGGGGTTTCTCTTTTCAAGTAAACAACCTATTAATTATACTAAAATGCAAAGGTAACACAAGGACCATTCTTATTAGTGTTTTAATCCTGCATGTCTAGTACTCAAGCAGATAACAATTAGAAAGATTACATTTTTGTAATACATAAACCAATTTGTGTAAAGTTGGGCATGCAAAAATTTGTTTCTCTGTACCTGGCCAGTTTATGGATACTGTAGAAATCAAATTTGAGAAAGCCCCACTATATGTTTGTTAGATGTTCACATTCACACAGCATGTCTTAAAACTATGTATTTAATATATGTCTTACCTTCTAGATGCTCAGGAGGAGATGACATGGTGTCATGGCAAGAATGAAGCCCTGCCTCTACACCTTTAACCCTTTTTAGGAAGGCAGTGTTCAAATCTATTTGTAATTGATAATGAAGATCTGCCTGCACTGTACAGACAGGGTTAATTAAGGCAACCCCACTACCCCCCATCAACAAAAAAAACCTACCTTAGAATTTTTCCTTGCTGTAGGGTCCGAAGAGAGCATCTTCTGGACCCTACAATGAGAGGGGATATATAATAAATATAAAGTAGGCATTTAACCTAGTTTTGCTGTCAAAGTGGAAATACACTTTAACCACTTCCCGACTAGCCGTTGTATATAAACGGCCTGACGGTGGCACTGCAGGGTCGGGTGGCCATTTATAAACGGCCTCCCCGCACCCTGCTTGTGCGCTCTCCCCAGCAGCGTGCAGCACCGTGATCCGGTGACCGCTGTGTCCTCCGGACACAGTGAAACACCGATCGTCGGACGGGACCTCTGTACGAGGTCCCGATCATGTGATCACTTGTTGTCCAAACAGTGATCACATGCAAAGTAGTAAGCAAGATGTCACTTCTGACATCATTGCTTACTACATGTGAAATCTGTAAATGATCACAGAGGTCACATGGTAAAAGGCTATTCACAACAGCCTTGTACCATGTGACAAGCTGTGACCAATCACAGCTCACTCAGTATTTCTCAATGGCTGCAAGAATGCAGACAGAGAGAAAGAGAAACGATAGCTTTTACATCCTATATGGGTGTAAAAACAATCTGTAAAAAAAAAAAAAAAAATCTTCATAACCCCCCAAAAGTAGTACAGTGGTAGTACCATGGTGACACTGTACTGCTAGGGTGACAGTATGTAAAAAAAAAATACAATAAAATAAATAATATAAAAAAAATAAAAATGTAAAAAAAATGTTTAAAAATTATAATTTTTGGTTATAAACTAGTTTGGCTTATTTTTTTGTATTACTAAAAAGATAATGGAATAAATTTTGGCCAAGATTTATGATGAAATATATCTATTTGCAAAATTTTATAAGAAAATCACTTTTCTTCAAAATTTTTGGACATTTTCATTTACATAGCAAAAAAAATAAAAATCCCAGCGGTGAATAAATACCGCCAAAATAAAGTTTTATCTGTTTCAAAAAAAATGGTAAAAAATTCATATGGGTACAGTTTTGCATGACCGCGCAATTGTCATTCAAAGTGTGATAGCGCTGAAAGCTGAAAATTGCCCTGGTCAGGAAGGGGGTGAAAGTGTCCAGACTGGAAGTGGTTAAGGCTTAGTTTTTCAAATATTTCAATAAGAAATAGTTTATACACTTGTAGGAAATATTCTGTATAGAGGCATACCACCCAGCAGTAAAAAGGTTGTGTTGTTCAGGTCTTTGTATATTCATATGTGACCTTAAAATCACAAAGAAAACAAGCACATATATTTTCTTTACCATTCATTATCGTCCTTTCTTTATCATGTATTAAGTGTGGCTATAGATGGAGAAAATCTCACACTAAGATTGATGGAAGATGGCCAGTTTGGTGACTCCATACTTAAAGTGTTACTAAACCCAGGACCCTGCATTCACTATATCTGGTCTCTTGAAGTACACAGAACATGGAAGTGCAATTATTTTAGTAAATATAAACTGCTAAGTACCTTTTCTCATCAGAAATTAGAGCGGTCTTGTGACTTCTATCAGTGTCCAGCCCAGCACATGTTAAAGCTTGTAGGAGGAGTTTTCTTTCTGCTCTAAGAGGATGCAAAACCCTGATCTCTGTCTGGACAGTGCTGATTGGTCCTGTGCTGATCACATGCACTCTCCCAAGAAAAAAAACTCTCTAGCAATACACACTAAACTGAGCATGTGCAGAATGGATACGGTTCAGTCTGTCTTATCAGGAGATAAGACTTGGACATTTGAACAAGAGGAGGAGAAGAGAAGTCAGGATCAAACAGCCATTTACACAATGCAGAGGATTAACCCATTAGGTTCCACAGTGAGTATAACAAGCATGCTTTCCTGCATATACAGACTGATTTTACTGTTGTGGGTTTAGGAACACTTTAAATCACAGTTGCGTTGAAATCTGTCTTCTTCCAGTTAAGCAGACAAATGGATGCAGCTGATACCCACAGTGAAGAACAAGGGGAAATTAGAAATGATGTTTGAAAGTCTTCTTTCCTGAGCTCTTTTTAAACCCAACTTTTCTGGAATGTTGAGAATGATGCTCAGATTGTTTTTACATTTGGCTAAGAACTTGTATACATGGGGGACTAGATTTGGCTCCTACATACATTTGTGAAATGATTTAGAAAGTTCTTGAGTTAAGTGTTTCATTTTGAATCAGATTTCCTAGAACAATGCTAAATTGTAGCTATCCCCCAAAAAATGTTTTAATACATCGCAGCTTACCAGTTCTTTTGGTGTCTACATAAATTTTATTTTGCCTTTGCTTTCATTTGGTGATTATGCCAGTAACTCCTCCTGCCCAGGGCGACAAACCTCATGCACCCTACTGTATCAGAACAACAAACACACGGAGACTGAACATGGCGGTGCAGGAGAGCACAATGTAAGTGCTCTCCGACAAACCTCCGTTTTCATCCACCCCAAGAGCCCTCCTAATGGAAGACACCAGAGACCTACCTGGGTGAGGGGGTTATCCGCTGGAGCTGAGCCGGTTCTGTGGACAGGGATTGAGAGAGCGGGCCTCAGGTTTCTTGTGTTGCACCGATGGAGACCCAGGATGAAGCATCGGGTTGCCGGGGAGACGGAGTGACACGGCGTGACCACGTGGTCAGCCACAAAGGAGCTCTGGGAGGAGGAGAAGCCGGCCAGTATCCCGAGAGGAGAAGGAGACCCTGACCCGCTCCCTAACTCATCTCCCAGCCTGTATGCTAGCTGGGCGGTATGCCAGAGGTCTACAGACAGGTCTACAGACAGCTACACAAAGAAGAGACCCTGGAGGAATCTCCCCAAGAAATTAACTAGAGGAGGAATATCGGAGAATTATAGCCTGGAGCCGCCTCACAGGAGAACTGAGAGAAAGGAGGGTGAGTGAGATTGGCCTAGGCTAGCTGCATATTGGACTGTGTGATATATTTAAATGGTCAGTAAAGGAGAAAAGGGGGATTCCCAGGGGATGTAAGGATGGAGAAGAGGAAAAGAAGTTAATCAGCCCTAGAAGAGGATTTTAATGTGTAAATGGACAAATAGATTAAATCTGGCTTCCTAGTACATAGTCTTAATACTTACTCTGGTTTCTTAGAAAAGAACAAGTTTCACAAGAAGATATGAAGAAAAAAAGCGCCAAAGGAAGTGGGGTTAAGGGGTCCCAAACTGGCACGATTAAAAAATACACGTCTCAGGGAAATGTGACTCCAGAAAGGCCCCAAGGTGTAAGTGAAAAAGAGGAAATGGAAATTGGCTTGGAAAATAGTCCCAGATTATCTCTGGGAATGAATAGTGGTAGGCAATAAATGATAGAAAATATGGAGAGGAAAGACCCTGAAAGTGATCTACAAGTAACGAATAAAAAAGAGATGGCAGAAATGTTCAAAAATATGGAAAAAAACAATAAAGCAAGAAATGGCAACTATTCGGAACGATTTGGGGCATTTGTTACTGAGAGTGGAAGAAACGGAGGAAAAGGTTAAAAATCTTGCCCAAAATATTTCCGAATTAGAAAAAAGGACAATTACTATTGGGAAAGTTCAGAAAAAATTGCTTTATAAGATAGAGGGACAAGAAAACAGGGACAGGAGGAGTAATCTTAGGATACGAGGAGTCCCAGATATTTCAAAAGGGGAAGAACTACAAGAATTAGTTTGTAAAATTTAAACTCCATAATGGACAGACCTGATACAGAGTTGGTTAAATTGGATGGAGTCTTTAGAACAGGAAAGTCTCAACAAGGAAATGGGAAGGAAAAACCGAGAGACATAATTGTGCAATTCCATAAGTACGGAGATAAGGAAGAGATTTGGAGGAAGATCAAGGGAAGAACAATTATTAAGTATGGAGAAATAAACATTCAGATTTTTGCGGATTTAACACCTGAGACTTTGTGGAGAAAGAGATCTTTAAAACCCCTGCTAGCGCAGATGAGAAAATAGAATGTGCATTATAGATGGGGTACCCCAGCGTGCCTAATTGGATGGAAGAACAAAGTTACAGCTTATCTGAGATTCCCTGAGGACTTGAGAGACTTCTGTGAAAGACTTGATTTGCAAAGAATAGAGATTCCGGGATGGGAAGAAAAGAGGGGGAAATAAGAGTTATGGGGAAGGAGGAATGGCAGTTTGTTAGAAGGGGGAGGTAAGGAGGAGGTTTTTTTTTTTTTTTTTCTCTGTCTTCCTCCTCTATATGGTATCTCTTCTAGAGTTTCGTGTTTAAGAGTTCGGTGAAAATCTATCGAGCTAATTAGATAGACAGAGGGTAATTGGGGAGGTTGGAAGGAGAGAGAGCCATTCATGGGCGGAGTTTAGCCCCAAGGTTGGAATCAAAGGTGGGTTTGGTCCCACAAATGATTAGTAGGCAAACTAGAGGCCTAAAAATGGGTAGGGTAGTAAAAGGAGGGGAACGGGGTGGGGGAGGGGAGGGAATGATTGGGATTGGGAAAGGGGTAGAATAGGAAGTGGGGTGGGAGGAGGTGGGGGAGGGCGAATTAAGGATAACACTCTGCATGATGAGAGAAGATATAAAAGTAAAGATCAAGGAAGAGAGGGGATGGAGGTGAAGAAAAGAGGTATAAAAAGGATGGAAGAACTACAGTTTATAACTTATAATGTAAATGGATTGAATTGTTCTGTGAAAAGATTTAGGTTATTTAAGGAATTACAACACAGAGTATGCTCGGTGGTTTTTTTGCAGGAGACACATTTTGAGATAGAGTTAAATGTTAAGTTGAATTCTAGATATTATCCAACGTGGTATTATGCAGATTCCCCAATTAAGAGAGCAAAGGGTGTGGCAGAAGGGTTTGCAAAGAATATAAGGTTTGAGTTGGAGGATAGAAAAACAGATCCTGAAGGGAGATTTTTATTGTTAAAAGCTAAACTACAATAAATTGAGTGTACACTTGCTAATATCTACTGCCCAAATAAGAGACCGGAGATATATTTGAAAGGTGTATTGAAAAAATTGATGGACTTTAAAAAGGGGTGCTTGATAGTGCTGGGGACTTCAAATTCTGTATGGATCCACATATGGATGCAACCTCTTCTGTGCAGAGGGAGGGAGGTGGGTCTCTGAGAACCTTGAAGAAGGTCATACATGAGTGCCATCTGGTGGACATCTGGAGAATTACACATGGGAAGGATAGAGACTATACCTTCTTCTCAAATGCGCACGAGATGTATTCGAGATTGGATTATATATTGGTAGATCACCAACTTATTGAGTTTTTGGTTAAAGTAGAAATAGAAGCAATTTCCTTTTCAGATCATGTCCCTGTTACAATGAAACTAGGGTGGGGAAGGCGGTTGACAGGAGGTTCAGGATGGAAGTTGAATGAGGCACTTCTCCTGAATAAGGAGACTGTTCAGAAGATTAGGGAAGTGATAGAGTGATTTTTAGGGAGAACGAGTCAGGAGACGTGCCGGTGGCTACAGTGTGGGAGTCCCATAAGACTTACATAAGAGGAATACTGATGTGATTGGGGCACAAAAGAAAAGGGAAAGAAGAGAGAAACTTAGTGGGTTTTTAAAGGAAATATTTGATTTGGAACAGATACATAAAAATAGAATAACAAAAGAGATAAGACAGAAGGTAATAAAAAAGAAGGAAGAACTAGAGATTTTGATGAAAGAGGAGAAGAGAAGAGCCTTTAATAAAGTGTTAAGTGAGAGGTACTGATGGGGTGATAGACCAGGAAAGTATTTAATGAGAGCCCTGAGGAAAAAGAAAAATAGAAAAAAAATAAAAAACTCTAAGGGAGAAATGGTTAATTCAACTAAAGAGATTACTAAGGTGTTTAAGGATTATTACAGTAAGTTGTATAATATTATCTCCCACGACTCTTTAAATAATATTGGAAAAGTGAATATTGAAAAAAGGATATATCTAAGAAACGCGGGTCTACCGAAATTAAGCGAAGCGCAATTGAATTCCCTAGATTCAGAAATTACGCAGGAAGGAATAAAAGTAGCATTAAAAAGTACTACGATGGGAAAAAGCCCAGGGGCCAGACGGTTACACTGTGAGGTACTATAAAAAATACAATGAATTGTTAATACCTAAATTGAAGATATACATGAATGCCTTGGGGGGGGGGGGGGGTGGAAATGTGGTGCTTATCCAAAAGGAAGGAAAAGATGCTTCTCAATGTTCTAGTTATAGACCAATTTCATTATTGTACACAGATACTAAGTTTTATGCAAAGGTCTTAGAAAATAGGCTGAAAGATTTAATGCCCGAATGGATACATGGGGATCAGTGGGATTTGTTTCGGGGAGGGAGGGCAGAGACAATGGGTTGAGATCTTTGTTGCTCATTCAGAAAAGTAGGAAGGGAAAAACTCTGGTGGTGGTGCCTTCAATCGATGCCGAAAAGGCATTTGATAGAGTTGACTGGGGCTTCATGATGAACACTCTGGAAGCCCGGAGATGGGAGTTAGAATGAGAGAGTGGATAGGAAAGTTGTATAGGAGGCCCTCTGCAGTTAATATGGTAAATGGGGAGACGTCAGAGCCAATTGGGATGTCAAATGGAACAAAACAGGGCTGCCCATTGTCCCCATTGTTGTATGTTTTGTCATTGGAATCTTATTGTCAACAATTAGAAAGAATATAGATATAAAGGGAATACAGATAGGAGGTATAGAACATAAAGGGGCTGCCTTTGCGGATGATCTGTTGTTTTATGTAAGAAACCCCAGGAAAACACTCCCAAATTTAATTAAGATATTAAAGGAATATGGGGAGCTATCAAACTTAAAAGTGAACCCAACAAAAACTGAGATTTTAAATATAAATCTTTCAAATAGAAAAATACAAAAAGAATTCCCCTTTATATTGAAAGATAGAGAAATAAAATATTTAGGGGTAAAACTCACTGCTTCTTATGAGAACCTGTATAAATCAAATTACATTTCATTGTTAAATGAGATTAAGGAGGAATTAAAGAAATTAGGAAAAGGATAGGATGCGTAAATCTGAAAAAAAAATGGTAATTGTACCCGAAATCCTATATAGATTTCAAATGATCCCAATTAAACTCCCAGAGGTTTTCTTTAAGGCAATTAAAAAAATAACAAGACATGTATGGAAGAATAAAAAATCTAGAACATCCTATGAATTGTTAAGTAGAAATAAAGAGAAGGGTGGATTGGGAGTATCAGATATTAAGAGATACTACAGAGCAGTTGTTTTAGTGAGCATTTTTGATTGGACGCATAATCCAAAAGGGAAAAGTTGTGTCAAAATTGAAAATGAACTTAGTGGAACTAATTTGAGTAAAATTATATGGGTGCCAACACAATATAGAGGATTAAAAGATAGCACAAGTTTATATACTTTAAATGTCTTAAGTGTGTGGGATATATTGCACAAACAAATGAAGTGGGATTTTAATTCTTTATTAATGCCACTAAGGAACACAGAGTTTTTCCCTCCAGGTAGGGAGTAGATTACAGGAAAATGGTTTAAGAAGGAGGATGTCCAGTTGAGAGACATAATAGTGGGGGGGAATTGAGAACACTTAAGGATTTGGAAAAGGAAAAGGGGGAAATTTTCACTAAGATAGATGAGTGGCAGTACCACCAATTAAAACAATTTATCGGGAATCTTCCAAAACCCTTGAGAATTAGAAAGGATTGGAACTTGTTTGAGAGGTTGCTGGAATCATGGGGAGATGGTAAACATGGCACTGCAAAAATATATAAGATTCTCACTGAATTCGACACAAACACAAAGCCAATGTATATAGCAAAATAGAAAGAGATTTGGGGGTTGGGATAGAAGAGGATAAACAGAAGAAAATATACAGATTAACTCACGAGAATATAAGTATGCGAGAGGTGGAAATAAATTATAAGTGTTTGATAAGATGGCACATTACACCAAATGTTGAACACAAGATGAGTGGGGAGAATTTACCGTGATGTTGGCGGGGGGTGTGGAGAGATAGGCACTTTATATCACATATGGGAGTGTCCAAAAATTCAAGTATTTTGGAAGATAATAGTTCATTTAATTGGGATGATTACTGGGATGAATATGGGATTAGATCCAGAGATTTGCCTATTACATAGTACAGAGTTATCAGTGAATAAATACAAGGAATCGAGTATATGGTACTATCTAAATGCAGCAAAAGGTTTGATGATACCCAAGTTCTGGTGTAAGATAGAGGTGCCAAAGGAAGAAGATTGGGTAGATGGAGTGAACCAGATTTGTAGGATGGAGAAACGTTATCATATGCAGGAAGACAAGATGGAGTTATATTATGTGAAATGGAAAAAAATGGGAAGAATTTGTACTGAAGGCAAAATACTGTATATGAAGCTTTACAGTGTGATCTGTGGAAGAGCCTCTTACTTTTGTAGGGAAGATGTTGAGAAATGCAGGGTGGGTAGTATGGGGGGGGGTGGGGGGGGGGGGAGGAGAATGAATGGAAGGGAATTTAGTTGGGAGGGGGTGGGAAATAGATATAGGAAGGGAAAAAGAAAAAAAATAATGGTTTTATGAGAATATGATGGAAATATGTAATTTTTTTATCTGGAAAACTAATAAATATTTAAATAAAAAGAAAAAACAAAACAACAAACACAGATCAGGACTACAGAACTCCCCCACCTCTTTTTCAATTAATATTGGAAGGGGTTCTGTAGTATTTATAGATAGCTGAGACCAATGCAACAGATAAGAATGCAACAGGAAGTTATCAGCTGACAAGATTTCTAGCAAGATCAAATGACTTTTGCACTTATCAAACAAATATAACACACTTTTCAAGGCATATTTAAGAGATTAAAAAGGTACCAAGTACAAGAGTTTCATTTTTAGGTCTGTAAGCTTTTTAAATTGCTTTTTCAGTTGCTTTTGACATACATCGTGTTGCATGTTCAGGGGCATAAAAACAAGAGTAGGTGCGAAAACTCACATTTCATTTCATTTTTTATTTGCAAAGCAGCCACATCCATGGCTGTTCACACAACCAGCGATTGCCTTCAGTGATAGCTGGTGGACACATTTTGTGTGGGTCAAATCGTCCATGCTAATGTAGCCCAACAGCCAATCCTTTCCAATTAGCAATTAGCATGAACTTTGCAGATTACAGATATAAAGGTCTGACTCAGCTGGGTCAGAATTATATCAGACCTCTGCAAAGAGACCTCTGCTTCCTCACCGTGGGACCTTCTCTGCAGCTTTCTGGAAGGGGAAAGGCCTTTCTATACTACTTAAAAACAAGAACACTTTGTGCACCATGATTTTACCACCTGTATTTTAAATTTGCTTTTATGTGTTTTAACCACTTCCCGACCGCCCTATAGTAGATATACTGCTAAAGGGTGGCGCGGGTATGCAAAATCATGTGTGTATATATATATATATATGTGATTTCGCATTTCCGGGTAGGGGGCACACGCCCTACCCATGCTGCCCATTCGTGGCCGCAACTGTCAATCACTGGCGCCCAGTGATTGCCGAGCATCTCCGACAGGGAGGAGAACTGTTTGTAAACAAAACAGTTCTCCTCCTTGTCAGCTCGTGCACACTGTTTTGCATGGCTGTGCACAGCACAGCCATGGAAAACAGTGTGATTACAGTGAAGCACAAACACATGACCCCCATAGTAAAACACACCCAGCATACAGTTAATCCTTTGATCACCCTTCATGTTAACCCCTTCCTGCCCAGTGTCATTAGTACAGTGTCAGTGCTTTTTTTTTAGCACTGATAACTGTAATGGTGTCACTGGGGATGACAGTGACACCAAGTCAGTTCCCCCCAGTGTCAGAATGCCCGCCGCAGTCCTGCTATAAGTCGCTGATCGCCCCCATTACTAGTAAAAATTATTTTACAAAAAAACTCCAATATCTATACCGCCATTTGTAAACGCTATAACTTTCACGTAAACCAATTAATTTACACATATTGGGATTTTTTTTTGTTGCAAAGACAAGTAGCAGAATACATTTTGGCCTAAATTTATGATGAAATTTGATTTGTAAAATTTTTTTTACTGAACATGTTTAATAGCAAAAAGTAAAAAAATATTGTGTTTTTCTAAAAATTGTCAGTCTTTTTTTTTTATAGCGCAAAAAATAAAAAAATGCACAGGCGATCAAATACAACCAAAAAAAAAGCAAAATTCGTGTGAAAATAAGGTCATAAATTTAATTTAGGTGCAGCCTTTCATGACAGTGCAATTGTTGGTTAAAGTAACGCAGCGCCGTAATGCAAAAAATGGTCTGGTCAGGAAGGGGGGGGGGGGGGTAAATCCTCAGGAGGACAAGTGGTTAATATTTTGTAAAATTAATCAAAACTTTGCATTCACATAGGTAGGCATGTCATAGAATCTTGCCAACATAAGCACATAAAACTTTAAATCTGGGTTGAACTGCATTGAAAAGAATTTCCTCTACTTAATTTTGCATTTGCAATTGCTCATTAGCAGGGATATATATTTTTACTAGGTAATGCATATAAGAAAATGTGTGACTCTCTGAGAAAAATCCTGCTAACTCGATAATGAAGCACGCACACAAATCTTTTTCAATGGAAGATTGTAAAATAATTGTCATACGTCTATGAGTCAGCTTTATTTGTTCTCAGGAGATTCTGTTCAATGACAGGAGAGATTTATTGATGAACCGAGAAACAGATTTGAAAAAAATCCTGATTTGCCAGGTTTATAGACAGTTTTAGTATCATAGAAAAACATTTTAGTGAATTGCAAACACATTTTAAAGAAAAATTAAAAACACATTTTAGTTTCAAGGTCAAATTTTGTTTTGGTTTAATATAGGTAAATGCAAGAAAACTCTTCCAAATGACACTTGGCATTTACTATTTATAAATATAATTTAGAAATGTTTTAGCTACTTGTACTATTTGATTGCACTCCACACCTATTAAAGAAGTCCCACAAAATATGTACACTTTTTTTCTCTGCCAGGGGACCAAGTGCATGCAGCATTTGGAACTGTTCAAATTTGTCTTGCTGTTACTAAAAAAAAGAAGATGGGTGTGCGAGTGACAGTGTTGGTCTTTGACAGCAGGGGCCACTCTGACAAGCGCTGTCATTCACCACAGACTGCAGCCTGTCAAATACTTCACTCTTGTTTTGGACTGAATTCTTCTCATGCTATCACTGCCATAAAGCCCCCAGTACCTCATTGATGAAACCACCACAGAGCCCAGCCATGGCAGTCCACACACACCTCCTCCAGTATGTACTATTACTAGCCCCAGCTCCCTCATTCATCGTCCCTCCCTTCTCCATTTACTTCAATAGAATACAGGCTGCTTGGTCTCCTGCACCTCTCCAGGAGGCAGAGCCAGGAATATTGCATCCTGTGGATCTCCTGCTGGGTCTCACATCCCTGCCAGAACTCACAGACCTCACTTCCCTTCACTCATCTTCCTGAAATCTTGAATCAGCCCCGGGAGATATATTATACAGCCCCACAGTGCTGAATGATCTCTTACTATATGAACAAACAGACAGAGCTGTGAAGCTGTGTGATAGATGTGGAAGTGAGGGGCGAGCATCTTCCCCAGGCAGGACACCATATATAAGGATTTGGGAGGAAGACTTCAGAGTGGTAGACGAAAAACTTGCACATATTCTAAGGTGAGCACATTATATGACTATTTTAATACACATATGTAGTTAAACCTACTACACTATATAGTTTATTTTTCTATTTTGTTTAAATTGGATATTCAAGAGAGTGAATTTTTATTGGGAATTCAAAGGAAAAGAAGGGAGACTGTTATACAAGGAATGTACTTTGTTGAACACAAATGTTTTAAGGATTTCCTTGGAAGGATATTTAGAATTTGGCCTTGGAGGACATCCAGTCTGTAGGTGCTGGTTCCGATATATGTGTGATATATGGCACTGTTCCAGACAGCACTAATTGTTCGTACCAGTGTTACATCACTCAGAACTGTGGTGTAGTGAAACATCACTCAGCACTGTGTAATGCATCTGCCAAGTCTGTGAATATTTACAAACACCTGCAGATAGATCAAACAGCCCAGAAGCACCGACCTTTCAATATTATGAATGGACAAGCAGTGCTGTGGGGACTGTGTGATAGACCTGCCATGTCCTGTATGTTTACTAGCTACTGGAAGCTCTATCACACAGTGCTGACAGCTCTGCTTGTTCAGTCATAAAAGTGAAAGAACAGTCAGCTTAGATAGGGCAGGGGGACAGTGCTAGCTGTATCTCCCCACAAAGTAATGCCCATAAATTGGGCTTCAGCTACAGCCAACCTTAACATAAATAAAGGGGTGCTTTTAATCCACGTGACCCAAGATTAGAATGGGACCAAATAGTATATGCACGTAATACACTGAATGATTATCTAAAGGAATATTTGACTGATTTATCAATGAAGGCATTATACCACTTAGCCTTGTAAAACAGGAAAAATGAGATTAAAAATAATGGCAGCATCAGTAGCAGATGGGATAAATGCTGTATTAAATATTCTCTATCTGCATGATTTTTTCAATTATTTTTTCAGCTTTGGACAAAGTGGGGAAGGGATATAACCACTGTGAGGTTTTCCATGTTGTATCTGAGTCAATTTGAGATATTTCCATTAACTTCCTCTCAGGACAGGAAATGATGAGAAATCTTCTCAAAAGAGCTGGCTTGGAGTTGGGCTTTAAACCACTAAATAAAATGAATGTATATTCAAAACTTTTTTTTTTTTTTTTTTGCTGACTGTGTATCTTTGGGGAGATTTCAATTCACTTCCTGTCATTGACACTAAGAATTTTTAAAATCTCCTAAAGCACATAGTACTCGCCACAACAAGTGTCCCCAAAAGAGGATTTCTTCTCTATTCATGTTCTCATGACAAATGTGACATTTTGGATTTGCCCTCACTTCCTATCTTTGTTACAGTGGTCATCAGTATAAATTCGCATCACAATCCCCATTCGCTTGGTATCTCTCATTGAATGCAGAAATTCACTTTATATTGATTTTCTGTATATTCATTCCAAGTTAAAAGCAGTCTTGACAATGGGATACTTGTGATGGTTGATTCTAAAAGATTAGTCACCCAGTATTTGACTATAGTAATGCAATCTTGCATAAACATATGTTCTGTTCTAAGTTTTTGGAAAGGGAAAATCTCCACAACTGACAACTTTCCTCCACTCTAAAAAAAAAAAACAAACAAAAAAAACAAAACAGACATTTGATTTACTTTTTAAATTATAAGCATACCCATTTATATACCATTAATGAAATGTGTAGCCCAAGCTTCCATTGGTGCATCATAATAAAGATTACAGGGTCATCTGCACTGAAAAGCTTTTTATGATTGCCTTGTAACACTATGGCTTGAATGCTGGTGCTGAATGAACTATTACAGCAGAATACGTATGACCAGTGTCCCAATTCACATTTACCTTTAAAGCTAAAGTAGTATTCTTTGTGACTGAAATTATTCTAGATTGCAATACTGATCAGCATTCGCATTGCAATCTCCATTCGCTTGGCATCTCTCATTTTAATGCAGAAATTCACTTTTTGTTGGGTTTCTGTATATTCATTCAAAGTTAAAAGCAGTCTTGACAATGAGATACTTGTGATGGTTGATTCTAAAAGATTAGTCACCCAGTATTTTGCTATAGTAATGCAATCTTGCATAAACATATGTTCTCTTCTGAGTTTTTGCTACTTACATGTTTGGCATTTAAACTAAGCCATGGACAATAAACGATCTTAATGACAGAGAGTAAAAGAAAGATGTATGAGGCATATTGAGTGAAATTGCTTAATTAAAAGTTAAATTAGGTATTAAAAAGTGTTCCGATTTTAAATGTAAAGTGAATTGCAAACCCTCTCATGAACTTTGCGATATAAATCACTGAAAAAGTCAAGCAAATTAAAAGACATTCCAATTACTACTACTTGTCTTTTCTTTTGAGGTTTCAGCTGCCAGGCATATACAAATAAAACATGTAACATATAAACAATTTTCCTAAACTGCATGCTTGAATTGAATATTTAAATGTATTTTTTTTCAATGTTCTGCCTTTAAAGGTTATTGTAAGCAAATAAGGGATGATATTTAGATGGCCTGTTTATAGAGTAGGTAGCTATTAGCATATAAGTAAAAAGAGTGACATTTTTATAGGACAAAGGTAACAAAAAGAAAATCCAAAATAGAAATCCAGCTGACTCCAGAGTGTGGGTGCATTAAAAATGGCAGTCTGTGAAATATGTTTTAAAATGATGATTGCTAAACAATAACATTGACATAGTACAGCTACATACTGTACATGGAGACATCTTTGCCAAAATGTAATCCATCCAAATTGATGGTTTGGGTGGGCACCCGAGAGCTAAATAACTAACAACCATTTCTTCCATCTTTTAGAAACTCCAAGTTTGAATAAAACTGAAATTTAGAATTTTCATTAATTACATAGTACATTACCATTGATACAGAAAGTCTGGAGTTTGCATTCACTGATAGCTAATGTAGTAAAAAAACTCAGCTACAGAATCCATGATGCATGGTTTTTATTCATTGATGGCTTACCTGATAGAACACTGAGCCTTAGACTCCACTGATATAGAAAGTATGGGGCCTGTATTCATCAATAGTCAATACAGTTCAACCCTCGGTTACAGATTCAATTGATGCAAAGAGTTTGGATTTTGCATTTTTCAATGGCTAAAAAAGAAGGAGCGAACATGGATCTGGCTCAATAAACACACTTAGTTAGGACATTAGAAAAAATAGCAATAATGTACTCACATGTAAACATAGGAAGGAGTGCTTGTAAATGACCAGTATACAGGGAGGGATGAGTACTCACTTGGACCAGTATTTTTGTCTTCATGTGTGTTTATTGCACATTATTCATGTAATTTCTTCTATTTTTCTTTT